AAAAGAAAGAGAAAAGGGAACCAAATGCATGGAAGAATTTCTTTAAAAACCCAAGCCAGAGGAAACCAAGAGCTTTCACGGGGACACAGTGGCCCCAGAGAACACAAGCCATGCTCAAAGCTACCGGCCTGGGCTTTCCCTGGTGTAAATCAGAGAGCCACAGAGAGGTGACATGAGACTCTTTAAAAAGACAAACTCCTGCTCTGTCCCTTTTTCTGAGCTCAAGCTCCAGAAGACAGCTTTCAAATTCTACCACCATTGCAGCTTATTCCTGCCCCAGAGCGCGGGGAAGAACAGAGCTGTGTGGATGGCCCGCCCAGGTTTCAGTGAGAATGAAAAGAAATTTCAAAAGGTAATAAAATGAAACTACTGTTTAATCATTTAAGGCCTCACTTTATAATCCTCCTAATTAGGAATCCAAGAACAAGGGCTATTTTACCACCAGCAAAAAAAAAAAATACCTTGTCAACGTCACATAGAAATCACGGTACACTATTTTTCCTTTGCACTTAGTAGGTACACAGTCAGTACACGTCTGATCAGCCTTTGGGGGCTTTTCTGTTTTGGTTTTATTTGCAGATTAATAATCCCTAAGGAATTTGCCATCTACCTGGTAATGCAGTCACCAAAAATTAACTCCTCGACAGGGATGTCAACACAAGTGTACCGGCTTCCGAAAAAGGGAAGGGTGGTAAAAAACCTTCTGATTTCACCTGGACTTACACCTCGTTTTGCAGATAAGGAAGCATGTGGGCATCAGGGATGGAAAGGAGTTCATTAGTGTGAGAGCCAGACTGGAGACAAGGTTAATTAGAGGACAGATAAGGCACTTTAAGGAAAGAAATGCTGAGCGTGGGTGGGATTTTGGTGACTGTGTTCATGGGGGGTCGGTGTTCAGAAACAGACAACCACCAGAGCACAGAGCTGGGAGATGGGGTTTTCGGGGTGGTGAACCAGATGACATGGGGACCTCCTGTTTGGGAGCCGGAGAGGCAAGATGGGTAAGACAGTGGGAGTCCATGAGACTCACACAGGAGGTGGCCTGTGTGGGGAAGCCCCAAGGTGAGGGTCCTGGGGCAGGATCCCAACGCCAGCCTGACCTTGATGCAAACTTGTGGAAGAACTGGAAGTTCTTTCTGTGGGATCTACAGCCCTACAAGTCGTGTGAGAGTCAACTGATGGGAAGCTTGGTATGGCCTGTCAAGTACACTACAGGCAGGGGTCAGGTGCAGCCCTTGAGGAGGACAAGGACACAGCAAAAGACGTGACCTTGCCACTCAGAGCTCCTACCCCACCTGCCACGCCATGTAGGCAAACACATCAGAGAATTTTCTAGCACAAGTGCTAATGCATCTGTGGTTGAGAACAAGTGGGGAGGGGCTCCAGCCCTCAGCAGGACCCAGGAGCCCCCTGGCAAAGGCTCCCTGAACCAAGACGTCCAAACTTGAACCAAGCTTTGAGAGCAACGTGAGCGTCTGAGAAAGCAAGGACAAGACACGAAGCAAGGAAAGGGCCAAGGATGACATCCTGCCACTTCCTGTCACTGTCACTCCTGCCAACCCTGCGATGGACATGAGGCAGCTTCTTGTCACGTGGGACACCTTCCCAGGCACGGTTACCAGGCCTGTTCCGAAGGGCAGGGAATGGCTCTGCGAATTCCCTCTGCTCTCCCCACAGGGACACTGCTAATAAAAGGATAAACACGGAGGAGAAGCCATCTGGAAGAAGAAGAACATCAGGGGAGCAGTGTTTGTTTACCAGAGGGTCAGGAAGCTGACACATAAAACCTTCTCAGGGAAGTGGCCTGGCAGGGAATGTGTTCTTAACCCTTCCTGAGGCCAGGGACTCAGCTTTACAACCTCGGTGGGAAGAGAAAGCCAAAAGCTGCAACACCAAACCACTGGGTGTGGCTTACTCCCACATTAAGATGAGGAGACGCCATGCAAAACTATAAATGCTACCTTCGAATTTTCCACTCTGCAGAGGAAATACCTGAAAAGACCGTCCAAGTTCAACAGTAAAGGTGTCCATGCGCTAGCCGTGGATGGAAAAGACTGGCCTTCTCTGCCCTGGCTTTGCAAAAGGTTAAACTCTTCATGATAATGTTTTTAAGGGTTACAGACAGTGATGGGAACAACCACAGACAGGATGGTTTTTCTGTGGGCCAGGAAGTGTAGAGGGAATGTGCACTGCAAATGACTGCTTTGCCTGCGTCCAAGTTTTAAAAGAAAAATAGTAAGAAAAGGCCCAGGAAACCCAATCCCTAGGGAAAGACAGGGTTCATAAAAGAAGACCCCAAAGGGAAACTGCAGAGACTTCTGGCTGCCGGCCCTGCTCATCAGTGTGGCAAATGAGAGAGCACAGTGGGAATTCACTCACTCGGGATTCCAGCCCTCGTGGGCCAGAAGCATGTGTCTGGTTTCCAGGGTCAGATGCTTGTCTTGCTAAAAAGTCATGGAGCACGATTTTAAAGCAATTACAGGGAGCCGGGTCTCTGCGATCCTACAGCCACTGGCCTCTAATCCTGAGTGGGATGCAATGGCTGAGTCACAGCAGCCCTGATGGCTTCCAGCTGTGGGATGGCCTGGCCAGGGTTGTTCTTAAAGAAGACATGCAGTGATTCCAACTCAGCTCCGTTAATAGAAACGCTGATATCTGGCTTTCTACACTCAGTTAAGGCAGACATCTGTTGCCCACCAGTTAAGAAAGAACATGATGGCCAAATAAGAAAAATAAAAATAAAATAGGAAGGGAGGAGGCATGTCAAAACTAACAGTGGCAGAAAACTCTACTGGTTAAATGAATTCACTCTAACATTCAATCAGCAAACATGTAATAAGCACTCGCTATCTGCCAGGGGCGTGCTGGATGCTGGGGATGTGGAGATAAGACAGGTCCCTGCCCTGGGAAGCATCAGTGCTACTGATACCTCGTAAGCTCCCAGTGTGTGCCAGGAACTGCTGTGATACTTTATCAGTTTCTTTTTTATGCTCATGCCAGATGAGGTAGGGTTTACTGTTACCATCATTTTATGGAAAAGAAAGCAAATGCTGAGGGGTTCCGTAGTCATGCAAGCTCCACTCTGACAGGCGTATAAGCAAAGAGGTCTGCAAAAGGGAAGAAAAAGCACAGCCACTGAAGTGTGCTAGTAAAACTAATAAGACCATTAAGGATGCATAGGAGTTCAGCAGGAGGGAATGAGAAAGGATCTTCCAGACAGAGGGATTAAAAATACAAATAATAGCCATCAGAAATTAGGAGGGAAAAGAATTTTAAAAGATGAAAATGCAATGCTACGACTGCTTCTTAGGCAGGGAGCTCCTAGCTAACCAGTGTCTGGGAATGGAGTGTTGACATTCTTTGGCTTTGAACTCTGAAGAACTTCGGGTGGCCACAGCACAAGGATGCCTGTGGTCAGCACACAACAGCAGCATTCTCAGCGTCTCAGCCAAAACAGTGAGGGGTCAGCCTTCCACAGAATAGCACAACTATAGACTGGGCTCCAGGTCCCCACACAAGACCAAAGAGCAAACAGGGAAATTGAGCACCTCACCAAACCAGTCTGGCAAGGAAGAGAAAAAGTGGGGAGGGAGTGCAAGGGCCTTTCAGAGGACGGCAGGTGCTTTCCTCAACAGATTTTACCATTCCAGAAATTAGCAGTGGCTTTGTTCTCTGGGTAGGAAGGCAGTCCCAAGACCTCGAAAGGCAGGGATCCACAGGAAGAAAATTAGAAAGGTACAAAGGTCGTTAGCGATGCACAATAAATTGGCAGCATTCTGGTTCCTCTTTCTCTGAAACACTTAATTCACACTTTCTGAACAGTGTTCTTTGAAATAAACATAATTTAATGAATCATGTCTCATTAGATGATTAAATGATGAGTTTCTACTGTTAATACCGACAATTAAATCTCAGTCACTCCAGCCAACTGTCTCGACGTTAACAACAGGTGTGCTCCCAAAGTCTGTAAGTTGTTTGTTTGGAAGTTCAAGAGTTATCTTCTTCCTCCACAAGCAAGGTGAGACACAGTGTTTGGTACCCAAGGTAGAGCACAAAGGATTGGACCGAGGTGTACTGAGGGTTCCCTACACCTGAGCCAAGGTCAGGCAAAACAGACACCCCTACACAAAAGTGCACTGGCATCTCTGAAAGCCTGAGGCGGACGGACAGACAGACAGACCCACATATACACCACCCTGCAGGCAGGCTGCAGCTCATGTAACTGACCACATAAGTGACTCACTGTCAAGCAACAGTCACTTAAGCGCAGGGCTGGGGGGGAGACTGAGGCAGGGCTCAGAGCTGAAGCCCCAGGGTGAGAAGGTAGAAGGCCTCCAACTCCTTTAAGGGGCCGGGGCCTCTGGCTCCTTCTCTCCCTGGCCTTATGGCTACCACATGCTTCCTTCCATGGCCTCTGGGGCGGCAGGCCTCTTGCTACTAGGCTGACACTCTGGGGACTTGGAATGGGGATTTTTACACTTCCACCCCACCAGGCCACGCATGGACTCTCACCTGATGGTCCCAGATAAACACACACATACTGTTCTTGGGTTTTCCTTGCCAGGCCTCTACACACCCCAATTTGGGAAGAACTTCCTGCAAGAGTAGCAAATTGAGCCGAGATCCATCAGGAAGATCAGTGTACCCCCCAATTCAAACATAAATATATAATGTTCCACAGACATGCCTGTGTAACATATGCACGTATTTACCACAATATATCACAGCTATACACGTGACATATTTAGGTATACGAAGATACATATCACATATACCGTACATAAGCGCACAATTCCACATGTTCGTGAACAGAAAGTCATTACAACTCCCATCCGCAAGGCCATTTGTGTCACTATACGGCAGATCGGGTTGCTCAGGCCTGGAATGGGTGAGTGGCTCGAGTTGCGTGAAGGGAGGGAGGTGGTGCCTCCTGTCCCTGGGACCTGGGAATGAGGCAACCTTTGCCCACACATGGGTTCCCAGGCGTGTCCCCAACTTACTGGAACTTCAAATGCCTCCTGGGTGTCATCCAGCATCTGGATTTTGATGGACATGAGTTTTCCTGATGGTGTCGGGGGTGGCTTCTGTCCACGTTCCAAGGTGCTGATCCCCGAGTTCTCTGGGGCCCCCAGTCGTGATCCGGGGGTGGGCTTCTGCTCTGTTTCACCCATGATGAGAGTAGCTTACAGGCTATCTGCAGTGAGAAGGAGAAATACATCAGAAGAGGCACTCTTGTAAAACCACTTAGGTAACTCTGTTATCAGCTCCCTATCATAGGAACTTCCCAACCACCCAGGAAAGACAGAACTCTGTCATCCTCCCTTGCACCACTCCCCCGCCACACACACACACTCACAGGAATCGCAGGTGGCAGCCTCTACTTTCAATGTCACCTTTAGGCATGTAAATACTTTGCATATTTTGTTTATTTGCATAGTTTTGCATGCTGTTGCATATTTTATTCTTTTCTACTTTCATAATCAGCTCTTAATTATTCATACTATAGACCTGGTTGTCCTCCGCATATTATTATTTGGTGTCTTGGATGAGCTAGGCGGTACTTTTCACACGGTGGAGGCTGGTGAGAAGATGGTAAACAGTGCCTGGGCCCTTTCATTAGCATCCGTTAATCACCTTGCGGGGACACAAGAGCAGAGAAGTGATGTGGGATTATGAAGATAAGTGGACAGACACACACGGTGGCTCTCCAGCTTGTCATCTGGCTGCAGGAGTGAGCAGGCACTCACTCAGACAAGGCCACACAGCAAGGGACTTTCTCTCCAAGTCTATTGCTGGTTTCCATTACAATAATGTCCTAATCCATGTCCTTCCTGCCACCCGGTCCTCCACCTGGTCCCCTTCCCCAAGGAGCCATTCTACATATTAGAATATCCACAAGGGTACTCTCCTAAAACCCAAACAACCCTCTTGGGTCACACACCACTGACTCCTCTCTCGGGACGTGTGCCCTCAGTCCACTCCTCGCACCACCTGGGCCTGGCTCCAGGCCTTCATGTGCAGGGCTCTCTCCAGTTTCCACCTGGAAGCTTCTACCATTACTCTAAGCCTCAGATCAAATGCACATCCTGGACACTGGGGGCAGAGCTTAGGTGCCTCTGGCTCCTCTGTGCTCATGGCTCTGTGAAAGCCACCCCGTGGTAACTGAGCCATGTGCATTTGCCTGTTTACCATGGCACAAGAAGGGCTCTAAGGAGACCCCAGACTTGGATATTCTCTGCACTGAGGCCCAAGGCCTGGCACGGAATTGAGCTCTATATCAGCGCTTAATGAGCAGAGCATCAGCTAGTCCAGGTCCCCAGTGACCGCAGATGAGGGTCATCAGTACACAGAGGAGTGAACTGTCAACATGAGAAGAAGTGGCTACAGGGGACACCAGGGAGCCTCCACCATGGAGAAGCAAGAACTGAACTCTTTCCAAGTTTCCATACTTGGAAAGAGACAGGAAACACTCACAGGAAAAGCATCCCAGGGAAGTGGAACAGGATTTCTGCAGTTATGAGAGAGAAATAAAATGGCCTATGAGAAGGAGGGGGAGGATTAGGGTCAAGGAGTTAGAGATGCATGTCAGAAATAGGCTGAACTCAGACATGGAGGACCACAAATGCCTGGCCCAGAGAGGAACAGACTTTACCTTGCAGACAGCAGGAGCCACCAGGATAAGAGAATGACCCAACAGAAACACCAGGACATGGAAGAAGAAAGGCGGGTGCCTGGCTTCAAAGCAAGTGCACAATTGGGGCTTGAGGTGACAGCATGGACAGGTGATGTGATAACCCTACTTTGGTGGGAAAATTAACCCAGTGATGTAAATGGCAGCTATGTGTGAAAGGTAAGAGTGTAGCAATGGTCAGAAAGCTTCAAGGCAGGACAGAGGGACAGGGGGAGCACAGGCCAGCCTGCCAGGGAGGCTGACAGCCATGACAGTGAACAAGGTAGGGTGAGTGTGGAATCCAAAAATCAAAAGAATCAATTGTGTCCAGTCACAAGCATGAGAAGACAGGAAGAGGAACAGGGAAAAAGATCCAAGGGCATTCAGTGACAAAGTCAGCCAGGGGACAGGGCCATTGAGTGTGAGGTACAGAGCTAATGCTGCATCTCACACCTTCCTTAAGCTCTTCGGCACAGCCACCAGTTTCTAAGTCTCATTGTGTGGGGTTCTCTTGTCTAACTCATTCCACTTCCTCCCAGAAGTTTCCAGTAACATCCTCATGGAAATTCCTAGTGTCCTCTCCAGGAAACCTCTTACACAGGCACAAGGCGGCCTAAGGTCACCAGGTCAGAGACTGTGGAACCACGCCAACAATCACTATGGTCTAAAAGCATGGGTCCTTCCATCGGGCAGAGAAAGGGCCCTAGTGCCCTCTAGGAAACACCACTGACTCTCCACACCCACCTCTCCACAGGGGTCCAAGGAAGCCTGTTGGGGACTGTTATTTGTTTTTAGGCCATCGGAAGCATGGATTCTAGGACAAGGCAAATGCCAATCAAGTTTCAGCCTTGCCGAGACTGCTACCTCCTTCCAGTGAGGCCATCTAAGACTCTAGGCTGTTACTGGTGCTTTTCTAATTTCTGCCCCAAATAAGCATTGACTGAGACCCTTCTTCTCATCTGCTTATCTGTGTGATCCAGGCTTTGGTTAACTCACCTGGTGGTCTTGACCAATGAGACTAGATTGATAAGACTAGATCATGTTAACCTATAACACAGAGCACAGTGACTTACAGACTGGAAGACAGACAACCAACATTCCTTCTATCAATGAATCAAGGGTGGTGATGATGTATTCATTGTGAAGTCAGTTGTGCTCAAAATCATCTTTACAAACCAGGACAAAGTACTTCCATGCACGTCTCATGGTTGCAGACCAATGTAACATGCAGACAAAATGCTATGGGTCAAGAGAACCTTCTGAGTTTCTGGCTTCTGCTCCCCACTTTTCCCTCGTTGGTGCTGACTCCTCCTTCCTGCCTCTCACCTGCCTCCTGTGCCCCACAGTCCACCTTAACTGTGGTTTTCTGTGCTGGCCATTGCCGCTCTGCCTGTCATTGCTGTAAGTCAGGAGGCCCCAGCCAAGGGACAGGCCCGTGTCACCCCCACAAAGGTGTTGAGGCCCTGACTACAATATGTCATCTTTTGTCTTACCCTAGCAAAGAGCAAGGTCCCTCATCCCCTGAGCCGAACCAATTCTTTCCCTCTTACCCAAGATCCCCAGGTGCACACACACTGTAACTTCCAGAACCTTGGTGTTCAAAACTCTAAATTACTGATTAGGAGAGATTTGGTACCTTCACTTCTTCTTCTGGAGTTGTCAGGGGGCCTATATATTTCTGCTTACGAGTACTGACATTTCCCCAAAGAATGTCACACTTTCTTTCTGGTTTCATACTTGCACACAGACGGTGGCTGTACATGGAAAGCTCTGTTTCATTCAAACGTAAATCCAGCCACGAGTTTAGAGCTCAGCATCCAAAGAATGTGAGGACCCATCACAGAGCATTGGCAAGTCATAAATGGACAACCACACCAAGGCTTGACGTGGAGATCAGCCAGCCCCTAACAGAGGGCTGTCTTCTAGGTAGACAAGTCCACCGACCTACAGTCCTGCTGTGGATAAACACGAACCCATGCTTACTCTGACTTTACCTCCATGAAAGTCCTCTGACCCCCGAACTGCTGGAGGACTCATCCAAATGACAAATGTGTTATTACTAACTGACGTGACCATTCCAGACCTAGAAGTCAGGTGTTTGCAGAAGCCACTTTAACTCTTTAGATCTATACGAAAAGTTACGCACACGGATGTAATATTGAGGACGAAGTAACAGGATTTTAATCTAGAGTTGTCATGAGATCCTGGCTCAAAGACTTCCTCTTGGAATTCACCCAAAGTAATAAGGAGCACACACAAAAAGGAAAAGTCCTTTGCTGAGGAGGCTAGAGGACATGCGCCAGCCAGCCACAAACTGTGAGAGGGAGCTGCCAAGTGCAGTGAAGGTCACACAGAGGAGAAGCAAAGGCTCTGAGAATCCATCAGTGCTGCAGCCCACAGGCAAAAATGGCAGAGCCCTGCTCTCCCAAATCAGTAGAACACCCTCTGCTCCAAACCCAGCTGTGCATTCTGGACCCACAGGGACAGAAGTGCGGAGAAGCCAGCAGAGCTTTCCTGGCACAGGGGGAGTGAAGTAAGGAACCCCCAGACGATCCATATTGGGAGGAAGCAGCTGACTGCTGAGGCGAGGTAAAGACAGGCTGTGTAAGGAGCATGGCCTAGGTTCACAGCCCAGCCTCAGCAACAGGAAAAAAGAACACCCCTCTCACTCCCACAATTACACAAGCCACAAGACTCCCACCCGCAGGGGACAGGCCCTGTCAGCCAGCCCTCATGAGGCTCCCACAAATAGCCAGTTGGTAGAGAACTCCTCTAAAAATAAAAATGGACCTTTACAAGATGCTGCAAGAAGAAAGAAAGCAACTGAGCATGGTGGCTTATGCCTGTAATCCCAGCTCCTGCAGAGGCAGAGATCAGAAGGATGGAGGTTCAAGGCTAGCCTGGGCAAAAAGTTAGGGAGACCCCATCTCAACCAACAAGATGGGCATGGTGGTGCATGCCTGTTATCTCAGCTGTGGAATGGAGGCATAGGCAGGAGGATTGCAGTCTGGGGCCTGCCCAGGCAAAATTGGAGACCCTATCTGAAAACTAACAAAAGCAAAAAGAAAGGCTGGGGCATGGCTCAACTGGTAGAGCACCTGCCTAGCAAGAACAAGCCAATGAGTTCAAATCCCACTACCACCAAAAGAGGAAAGCAAAAAGTAAAAACGAATGACAGATGAATACCCAAAACAGAAATGTCACATGCAATCAATTAAAGTTTTGCCCAAGCACATTGTCACAAACTTAAAAAAATAATTGAGTCTATAAACAAAAACAGAAGAGGACCTACAAGAGTTAGGGGAAACTCTGGGAAGACACCAGCAGGAAGCAGAATGAAGGCAGATCTCCCTCGGGGAATGAGAAGGGAAGCAGGAATTAAAACACAGGTCAAGCACCCCTAATCCAAAATCCAAAATCTAAAATGCTCCCAGTTCCAAACCTCTTTGCACACAGCCATGATGTCACAAGTGGAGAAGTCCACACCTGACCTTATGTGACAGATGACAGTGGGAACAAAGCAC